GGCTATTCTGCTGCTGGACTGCTGTTGGACTGGGCCAATAAGATTGTTCTTTTATTAGGCTGCTACTAAAGGGCTGGGCCAGGTAGGCCTCTCAAGCAGTGGGCTCTTCTCAGGGCATAGTATCTCTGTTGGATGGGTTGATCCACTGGACTACTGGGGCTGACTTTGGTGGGAAGCTAGCTACAGTCTTTCACCAACTTCAGCCACTGGCTCAGCTGGAAGACACTACACTCTTCTTGGCTGAAATCCTTTAGTTCTCTTTTCAACTATAGTATTACTTTTCTTTCTTAGCTAGGACAATGACCCTTAGTTTGGGATTGTCTCTCCTCTTTGATTGCCTCAGAGCCTCCATGCAGGAGGTATGAGAGGTCCAGCTTCTCTGGTTTGCCAGTCCTTTCTGGTTCTAGGCCTATTTTCTCAGTAAGGTTCTCCTGACTTGGTCAACAGTCAAAATTCAATCATTTATGCTTATCAGACTTCTCTGGCAACCTTATGCAGATGAGTGGTTAAGGACAAAGCCAGGAATAAAAGCAATCTAATTCTTCCTCTTGATATGCAAATGAGCTATTCAAGCCTCAGAGCTTTTCTAACTGCTTATTTTGTTCTTAAATCTTTTCAAACATTTCACTGTTTTTATTTTTCAGGCCCTTTAGACCTTTCAGCTAGATGAAGTACTTCCAGGGAAGTCTGTTAGATTACTTTAAAGATTTTATTTATAATTTCTCTTTGCCCTAATACATGATATATTTTTATAAAAGTACCATGAAGTACTGAGAAATATGGATATTCTTCAATATTTCCATCCATAAGTCTTGTAACTCTAAATTCTCTAAGACTTTTTTGGTTTTTTATTTTACCTTTTGTTTATATTTCTGTTAAATTTGTCTACATTTGAAAGAAGAACCTTGAAATCTCTCTACTTTTAGTGTGTATTTGTCTATATCTTTTGATAGTTCAGTTAACTCTTCTTTTATGAATTTAGATTCTATGCCATTTGACACATATATGTTCAGTAATGATACTATTTCATTTTCTAGGACTCCTTTAATCATAATATAATTTATCTCTATTGACATTTTACATTTTACCTTTGCTTTGTCTGATAGCATGAATACAACTATTGTTTTTTTGGATTTACTATAAATTTTTTCCCTATCTCTCATTGTGCAGCCCAGTCCTATCCTTTCATCTCACCATGATCAGTTTTCTTCCCCAAAGCCATTCTGTCTCATCTTTCCCCCTCCATCATACCACCATTCTGGGTGCCAGCTGCCTCTAGTGACTCACACATATGGTTTCCTGGGGCAGGATGCTACCAATGGAGACATACTTTCCAATGCACTTGGAAGGGTAATGGAGAGTGATGCCCTTCACTATCCAGCCATTTGTCATGCTATCTGATTCCGAAACCATACCCTGGAAGGCTTACCATTTCATGCTTGTACCTCCCGTATTGGAATCCCTTTGGGATGCTGGGTGGTTGCCTCAGTTACCTACTATATCTGGACCTAGGCTTCAGTCAGGTTTCTTCACTTTCCAGTCATTTACTTAGTCATTTTTCTGTCTAGAAATGGAGTTTAAGAGGACTTAACCCTGTCCCTCTGTTTTTGTTGAGTCATGTCTGATCTTCTTGACCCCATATACGGTTTTCTTGGCAACGATACTAGAGTGGTTTGCCATTTCCCTTTCAATTCATTTTACAGATGAGGAAACTGAAGAAAATAGGGTTAAGTGGCTTGTTCAGGGTCAACAGTGAAAAAGTGTCTAAGACTGGATTTGAACTCAGTTCCTCCTGATTCTAGGCCCAGCACTCTATCTGCTATGCTACCCAGCTTGTCCTGCTATACACTTTCAGATACCCAGTTCTGAAACCTTATTTACTTCATCTTCACTCCCTATGTCTCCACTCATTATTCCTGTAACTTTTCTAAATTAACTAGTCCTCCCTGGCCACCACTTCCTCATATATGTACATGTGTTGACCCCTCTATTAGAATATAAGCTCCTTAAGTAAAGGAATTGCCTTTGCTTTTATATTTTTATCCCTAGAAATTAGTACACTGTTTGGTACATAGTAAATGATGTGCATATCTATATATGCTGTGTGTATATGTATATTTATATGTATATGTGTATGTATACACAGACATACATACATATCCACTCATTCATAACTCCCCTCAAGTTAAATACATTATGAGGCCCCCATTAAAGGCATATGTCTCTTCTCCTCTGGTAGTACCCTTTAATGTAGCCCTCTCTCCACTATCTACAGTGAAACCTCTCCATTCCAATCCCCAGACTCAATTTCTCTCTTATATCCCCTCTCTCATTTTCCTTCATTCCCTTCCTCTCTTGCTGAAGGACTTTAGAAATCATCATCTTTTTGTTGTTCACCACAGACTGCATATGGGAGCATCACTTATACTCTGTTGATCACCTACCTACCCCTTCCCATTTATATATCCCTTTATTCTGAAATACCATCCTAAAAAATACACTAATTCACCTATGAGAGCTTCAGGGAGTTTAGTTAATGAATCTTCAGTTTTGTTTCTCCATCTTTGCTTTAATGATGTAGGTTCAACTTAAATCCTTATATCCTTGGGTCTTTTTTTTCTCTTAATAATCCCTTTACATTCTTTTGAAAGTCCCATTTTTTTCTTTCTCTTCTTTAGAGAGAAACCTCTAAATATGACCTCTAAGCACAACTTATTTTTTCCTTTAAAGTAGTACTTATTTACCTTTCTTTATGTTTTTTGAAAGTTAAATATAATGATCTCCTGTCTATTCTTGTTTCAGGAATCCCTCAAATTTCTCTTAATGTTCATTTTTTTTCATTGATGATTGGACTGAGGTTTGTAGGGAATTTCATTTTGGGTTGCAATATAACTCCTTTGCTTTTCAGAGTATCCTATTCCATTCCATTCTTCAATTTCTCATGGCTTTGGAATAATTTATTTAGATTTCATTTCCTTTATATTGAAGCTTTTCTGACCATTTGCAAAATTGGTTGTATTTAACCAATTGTTAACAATTGTAACAATTATATTTAACCGCTCTTTTTTAGAGTTTGAAGCACAGGGTTTGTTGTTTTTTTGGTGTTGTTTGTTTTGATTTCCTGGAGGCAATCTGTGCTTTCTCTTGATTGATGCTTTTTTGTATGAATTTGGAAGTTCTGGGTGGTTTTAAAAATTATCTTAGATTTTTTGATTTCTCTTGTTCTTATGAGAGACCTATAATTCTTAAATTGCCTCTATGCATCCTGTCTTGTATAAAATTAATATGTCCTTTAAAAGTTGTTTTTGCTTTTCTTATGCAAAAATTTCCTTCCCTTCTACTCCAGTTTCTGTTGAGGGAAAAATGTCTCCTATTTCTGTAAGGGAAAAAATACTTCCCCCTCTCCCAACTACACCACTTTCATCATTAACTATGCCACTGGGTGTTGATGGCCCACCAATTTTATCAAACAATTGGAATAGCATAGGAATAAAAAGAGCTGACACTTACAGAAACAATAGCTTAGACACTATCTGGTTTTGACTCCAAGTCAATAATGTGCAGTGAGCTTGTGTCTTTTCACCTCTGCCCCCAACAGGCAGAGGGAACCAAGATGTAATTTACACAGCAGTCCACTTTCACTCAACATGCCATCAGCTTCCCACAGTCTGTAACTCATCCCTTCTTCTCTTAATCTACACTCATTCTGCTCCAGTCACCCAAAGAATTGGTTAGGGAGGGATACTCCTCCATACTACTACCCAGGTAGAATCATAGTTTCCCATCTCTTTCCCAGATTCTCTTTCCAACACTGCATTCGATGTTATGGGCATATGGGAACTGTAGACAAAACGTCTCTTTGGCTTCCATAATCACTCATCTTGTCAATCTCCGTAGAAAAGTCATCAGAAAAATGAAAAAAGGATTATACTTCTAAAGCCTCTTGGGAGAGTAAGGTATATTTGTCAATAAAAACCAACTAGATGAAATTGGTCTTCAAGAATCAAGAAGCGATAAAGACAGAACAATGACCAAACATATTCATGGGACCTCCCATTCCTGGTTGGATTAGGTCATCACTGCACGTGTCTTGTTTGTATTAGATTTGGCCTGATGCTGAATTGTAATTTCCCTAATGATAAACCATTAGCATCTTTCAATATATTTCCCAACTTGCCAAAGTCAGTATTCAAAGATCTCATAAATGTTAGTAGATGTGGAACCACTGAAACTGAAAGCCAGAGTCAAAATCTTGTGTAGGAGGCTGCTGCCAATGCTTAGATTCTATGATTCTATATCTGAATCAGTAAGGTGAATATTGGAAACCCACCTTCATATGGATTGCAATTCAGAGAAGCTCAAGTTATTTTAATTGTTTAAGAATAAATTATAAATTCAGTGAGATTAACCTGATAAAATAGCTTGGGACTTTTCCACATCCATTGATCTAAGAGGACAGTGAGTAGAAAGTAGTGTACTGCATATTCTCTCTCTTTTTCTTTCTCTCTCTTTTTCTCTCCTCCCCTCCCCTTTCCTCCCTTTCTCATCTTCTCTTTCCCTTTCTCTCTACCTATATATGTGTATATACATGTTTATATACATAATATAAACACATATACTTTAAAATACATTTCTCTAGTAATATCTAAGCTCATAGGATTTAAGCAGGAAAACCGCCCACATTTTCTCCAGTATTGAATAATATTCCCTGACAGGTATTTTGTTACCAAGTATTTACCACTTGGTAAAGTTTATTTCTTTTTCCTTCCTAGACACTGTGATTTGCCAATGAGCAAAATTTAATTCTCTAAAGCTGAAATTTGAAGACAAGCTATTGGACCCTTGAAGAGTGGGGATAACTGCTCCCCAGACCTCATGCAGACATGTATAGGTGCCTTTGGATCCCAACACAACAAACAAGAGAAAGGTCAGGGGACTAGCCCTCAGGGCCCATTTAAATACAAAGCCAAAATATTGCAAGCCTCTGAGCTCTTGCTTACCTTCTTTTTTCACTGGAAAGGAAGATTAATCAAGGATGCCCTCAGACAGTTGCCAAGAGATCTAGAGTGAGCACTTAGTGAAAAGCTGGTAAGGTTCAGAGCAAGAGGTTTCTGGAGACCAGTTTGATTCAGGGTGATGATTAAAATAGCCAAAATAAAAATAATAATATGTTGATGATAGCAATAATAAAAACACAAAACCCAGCACTCACTAATGGGAAAAGTCACGCAAATCCTGAGGAGAACTGGCAAGGCTGAAGGGAATTGATTCTTAATAGCAGGTTTACTACTAGGCATGAGGTGGGAGGCCAAGATGAACACCACTCCCTTAATCACAAGGTGAGTCAGTCCCATCACTCCACCCCAAAATTTGTATGTGAAAAAAAAACACCCAGTCTAGTTAACTCTAGGGAAGAGACAATCCTATCTCACCAAAGAATTCCCAAAGATTGATTGATTGATTGATTGAATGTGTGTGTGTGTGTGTGTGTGTTGTGTGTGTGTGTGTGTGAAGATGACAGATGAGGAGGGAGAGAAGGGATATATCTTATGAAATTAATTAGACCATTGTTCTGTCTACTGAAAGAGAAGGGAGGCCTGGCATCATAGTGTATAATGGTAGTGTGGGATGGTAGAAGTACTAAAGTGGCAGTTAGGAGACCTGGTGTCTCTGGGGATTCAGTCTCTGTTCTGCATTTATTATTTATATGACTTGAAGTAGGTCACTCAACTTTTCTTGTCTGTAGCTTGCTAATCTTTAAAATGATGGTTTGTACTCACTGCTCTGTCTCCCTCCCAGGGTTGTTCTAAGAATCAAGTGAAATGACTGTAAAAGTGAATACCCACTCACCCCCCCCAATTGAAAATGAGGTACCACAGGTGGACTGCTTTTCAGCAATAGGGTGCCAAGGTTTCAAATTCTTTTCTCCTAATGGCAAGTAAAATAAATGTCAAAGTCAAAGCCAAAAGACTAAAAGAATAAGGGAAAACATGAAATAGAAAAAACAAATGAACTAGAAAACAGATCAAAGAGAGATTATCATTAGACTATATAAAAGCTATAAACAACCCCAAAAAGATCCTAAATACCACCTTTCAAAAAGTTATAAGAAAAACTGCCTAGATATCTTAGGATCAGATAGCAAAGTAGAAACTGAAAGAATCTACCACCACTCACATTTTCAAAGAAACTCTCAAATGAAAACTCTCAGGATTATTATGCTAAAATCCAGAGCTCCCAGTTATGAAGAAAATACTGCAAGTAACCAGAAGGATCACATAAGTTTTATCAGATACCAGTATAAAAAAAATGGAGGACTTGGAATATGATAGTCCAGAAGACAAAGGATCTAGGATTATAATTAAGAATAACCCCAGCAAAACCGAGTATAATCCTACAGGGGAAAATTGGATATTTAGTGAAATAGAGGACTTTCAAGTATTCCTGATGAAAAGACCTGAGCTGAGTAGAAAATTTGACATTGAAACGCAGGATCTTGGAGAAATACAAAAAGGTAAACATGAGTGTGAAATCATAAAGGATTTAATAATATTAAACTGTTTGTATTCTTACATGGAGAAATTATACATGCAGCATCTCAGAACTTTATCATCAGCTGAGGTCTTAGAAAAATTCTAATAGAAGAATTGGATGTGATTTGAATGATTTCAAAAGAAAAATGGAAGAGTGGAGAATAGGTATGCACTGGGAAATGAAGAATGGAGAAGGAGAATGGGGAATATTATCTCACATGAAAGGGGCACGCTAGGAAGGGTATATACAGTGGAGGAAGCAGTAGGGGGCAAATGACACTTGAATGTCATTCTCATCTGACCTAGTTCAAGGAGAAAAGAATAAATGTACACAAATACTTGGATCGATAAATTCATCTTACTCAACAAGGAAGTAGGAGGGAAAGGGATTTAGAGAAAGGGTAAGTCAAAGATTAAGGGAAGCAAAGCAGACACTTAAAGAAGGAAAGTTAAAAACAAAACAAAATAAAACAAAAAAAAAACCCAGAATAAGTATAATAGAGGGAAATACACAGTTAACAATCATAACTATGAATGTGAATGGGATGAACTGATTTATAAAATGGAAGATGATAGCAAAATGGATTAGAAACCAGACTCTAACAGTTTACAAGAAATACACTTGAAACAAAAAGATACACAGAGTTAGAATAAGATGCTGGAGCAGCATCTATTGCTTCCTCTGAAGTTGTTTTTTTTTTTTTTTAAAGCAGAGGTGGCATTCATGATCTCAGACAAAGCAAAAACAAAAATAGACCTACTTAGAAGAGATGGGAAACTACATTTTGCTGAAAAGTACCATAGACAAGAATAAAGAGGATATATGAAAATAGATATGTTAATGCACTATTAGTAGAGCTGTGAGCTGCTCCAACCATTGTGGAATACAATTTGGAGCTATTCCCTGAGAGCAATTAAACTGTCCATTGTGGGGTCCAAAAATGTCCAATGTATAATAAAAAAAAAAACTGAGGCACAGCCCCGAGCCAATGACCATTTATTAAAGGGACGTGGCCGACCTTAATGAATGGGACCTCAGATCTTCCTCATGATCCCAGATGCCCCTTGTCTCCCTGGCCTTAGTATTATAGTACTTGATACCTAGATGATACAGAAGAGGCAAAGTAAAATACAGAGTCTTATTGGTTGATAGACTTGTATCTTGACCTTTCAGAAGAATCTTCAGTTCATACTATAGTCAATGACTGGCAGAGGATGTCCAAATATGAGCAGAGCTGATGACCATTCACTGGTCCCATGTTGGTCAATAGAGTCATAAGTAGTGTCCATAGACCTGTTTCCCCAAAACAAGATGATAAGGGTGAAGGGACAATCAAAAATAGCTAGGGGACTTTCCATATCATTGAGTCATCTCTGTCATGCTGGGCTTGGCCACTTACTCAAAAAGGATGGTGGTGCTCTAGTTAGCTTCCTATAGTTAAGCAAGTGAACTTCATAACAAGCAAGTGAACTTAGAACTTGTAGTTTGAAGTTCTGGGACCTAATGTAAGAAAGAATCTATCCAGCCTTATCTAATATATAAAATATGTAGTAATATTGATATTAATTGATTATACTGACTAAATGCAAATTAATAGATAAATATAACAGATCTAATCACTACACTTGATAATACTGATTGAAGATAAACTAGAGGTCTAAATAAAATAAGTATGCAATAAAATCACCTCTTACTCCATGGCCTTTGATCCAGTAATAACACTACTAGGTCTGTGGCCTAAAACAATTGAAGAAAGAGGAAAAGAACCCACATGTACAAAAATATTTATAACAGCTCTTTTTTATGGTGACAAAAATTGGAAATTGAGGGGATACTCATCAATTTGAGGATAGCTGAATAAGTTATGGCATATGGATATAATGGAATATTATTGTGCTATAAGACATGACAAAGGGGATAGTTTTAGAAAAACCTGGGAAGACATCCATGAAATAATGTAAAATGAAGTGAGAAAAAACAGAACAATTTATTTGTATATATTTGTATATTTAGCAGCAATATTGTCAAGATAGCCAACTTTGAAAGTCCTAGTAACTCTGATCAACAGTGACTGACCATAATTCTAAATGACTCATGATAAAACATGGATAGTGAACTGATGTACTCAGAATGCAGATTAAAGTTTATTTTCTCCTCTCTCCCTCCCTCTCTCCTGTTTCTCCCTCCCTCCCTCTGTCCCTCCCTCCCTTCCTTCCTTCCTTCATTTCTTCCTTCCTTCCTTCATTCCTTCCTTCCTTCTTTCTTTCCTTCTTTCCTTCCTTCCTTCTTTCCTTTCTTCCTTCTTTCCTTTTTCTTTCTTTCCTTTTTTCCTTTCTTCCTGCTTTAGAAAGAAAATCAATTGTTAAATATTCAACATAAGAATTTCCAACTCAGAAATTGACAATTACTCCATATCAGGACTTGATTTATATTTTGGTTGATTGTCTATACCTAAGAAAGTTTTAATAAAGCAGACTAAAATTTTAAATAAAGATAATTGTGTGGATTAATTTTGTTTGACTATTGTTACAAGGTTGTTTTTTTCCCTCCTTTTTCTTTCTCTAGTTTATAATGGGTCAGTCAGAAGAAGTTAGTAACAGTGATGTGCCTACAAAAAGAGGTCCATTGTAAAATTTTAGAAAATACAGAGAAAAGAATGGGAGGAATCCAGAAGAAATTCCAGAGAAGCAGAATAGGTTTGAAAGTTAATGTATAGAATTTATTATATACTTTTAAAAAGCAAAGGTGTGAAATGGAGATTCACCTCTTTATATTTCCTCTCACTGTATTCTGGTTTGTGTACAGAAATGCTCTTTTTTATCTAAATTGATAATTTAAAATTTTTTAAAAGAAAAGCTATGGCCTATAATTAAAACTAGTTTTAGAAAAATTTGTCCATTAAGGTTGCACTTAATGTCCTATGTAATATATAGTTTTAGGATGAATTAAAGAATATATGAAAATCTTATCAAATTATGCAAAACAAGTGATTGTGACAAAAGGAGGACATAAAGCACATTAAAAGGTTTTTTTTTAGATGAAAAAGTTCTAAGGGCTATGTTTTGTCAATAAATTTAATTCTATTACTTTGTCCCAGTTAATTTGCTAACAACTCTATATTGAAGATCTGTTTTTGTTGTAGTTGTTTTGTTTGGTTTAGTTTGGTGAGACTTGTCTCTTGTGTGAAAGCACAAATTACATATAGAGAGGAAGAAAGAAAATTGTAAGACCTAGGTAGCTTCCAAAATTCAGAGAAATGGAAATGAATACCAAGAAGAAATGCCAAAGGAAAATCCCCAAGGCTATACACATCAGGCTTACTTTTCCATTTTGTTTCCTGTCACATAGTCTGGGGCTTCCTTGTGTCTCTGAGTAGAAAAGGCAAGCTCCTTCCCTGAGGTTGAAAAAGAAGGAAATTATATTGACAATGGTTCAAAAAGAATTATCCTGTTACCTGCTTGAATGCCTAATCAAGACTATCTTAGAATACCCTTAGGATATATGCAGTTGTGTTGGCATGTTGGTATGCTTATTTAACTTTTGGCATTCTTTCTCTAAACACAAATAATGAGCAGTACACCTGTGCCTCATCCTGATGTCAAAGTGACTCTGAGTTTTTGAAAGATATAGCAGTGCAGCACAAATTCCTGCCTGTTTTTCCAAGATGGCAAGCTCCAAGTTGAGCTCCATGATATACTATGAATATGGCAGTAGAAGATCAATTTAGCTCT